TTAATTGGTTTCCCTTTTCTTTGTTGAAGAGGGTCTGTGCAATCCTTCTGCCTAGTCCGCCATCTTGCCCCGCCTCTCCACCATGGAGTGTTTTAATGGACAGCCAACTTAGTGCAAAATATACAAACAGTGAACTGAAAAGCAGTGTTGCTGAAGAAACACTGAGCTAGGAATTGTAGATAGGCCACTAATCCATATATTTTTTGAAAGCGTTCTCAGGCCCCAGACTACTCAAGTGAACCATGAGGGTCTGGGTTGGGTGAGTCCACTGATCCTGAGTCTGTCCAATGTTGAGTAGATGACAGGAGAGTAGAGGTTCTGATCCACGGGCAAATTCATCCCGTTCCCTGAAGTGGGCAGTGGGGCTGGGAGACAAGCACCAAAAGAAATAGGACCCTATTCCTGTCTTGGAAGTCCCTGGGTGGCACAAATGGTTAAGCAGTTGACCACTAACCATAAAGGCTGACGGTTAGAATCTACCCAGGGGTACCTCAGGAGAAGGGCCTGGCAGTCTATTTCAGAAAGATCAGCAAGTGAAAAGTGGTGGTAGATTCCTGTTTTTTTTTCCTGTTTTTTGAGAAAGTTGTGATTGATTTGGCAGATAGGTGAACACACACACAGAGTCACACACACAGAGTTTAACAAATGCATAAATTTGACCCCTTTTAAATATCTTAATTGACCTTATACAATAACATCATTCCTAAATACAGTAAACATATCCAAGAGAGAAAAGTCAGGAAAGCCAGGTTATCCAGGATGGCTTCCTGGAGGAAGTGATTAAACTGCAACTTTATAAGGCTCTAAAGCAGTGGTTCTCAAAGTGTGGTTCCCCAGACCATCACTTGGAAACTTGTTGAAAATTCAAAATCTTGGGTCCTACCCCAGATTTAAGTGGTGTTGGTAGCAGAAAGGTTAAGCGTTTGGCTGCTAATTGAAAGGTTGTTGATTCAAACCTACCCTGCGGCTCTAGGCAGAAGGACCTGGAGATCTTTTCCCATAAAGATTACAGCCTGGAAAACCCTGTGAGGCAGTTTTACATGAGATCAATATGAGTTGAAATTGACTGGGTGGCACCTAACAACACCCCAGATTTATTGAAGCATAACTCTGGGAGTGGAGCCTAGCAGTCCTCCCTCTAAAGTTTGAGAACCCTTGCTGTAAAGCCTTGCTATTTGTATTAGTTTCTTAGGGCTGCTGTAACAGAGTACTACAAACTTAATGGCTTAAAACTACAGAAATTTATTCTCTCTCAATTCTGGAGTCTGTAATCAAGGTATCAGCAGGGCCATGCTCCTTCTAGGGCCCTAGGGAGGATCCATCCTTGCCTCTTCCTAACTTCTGATGTTACTAACAATTGCCTTGGCTGGTAGATGAATCACTCCAATCTCTGACTCCATCATCACGTAGCCCTTTCCCCTGTATATCTGTGTTTAAATTTCCATCTCCTCATAGGGACATTGCATTGTTGTTATTGCTAGCTGCCAGGGAGTTGGCCCCTGACTCATGATGACCCCCTAAAGGCAGCCCAGTCCTATGCCATCGCCATAATCGATTGCAGATCGAATCCTTGTGATCCATACAATTTTCACTGGCTGATTTTTGGAACTAGATCACCAGGCCTTTTTCCCTACTCCATCTTAGTCTGTAAATTCCACTGAAACCTGTTCAGCATCAGCGACACCCAATCCACCACTGAAATAAGGTAGTAGCTGTGCATGAGGTACACTGGTTGGAACTCAATCCCAGGTATCCTGCTTGGAAGGCGAGAATTCTTCCATGGAATTACCACTGCCTCAGTCATTGGATTAGGACTCAATCTAATCCAGTATAACCTCATTTTAACTTGATTACATCTGCAAAGATCTTATTTCCAAACAAAGGTCATGTTTACAAATTCTGGGGATTAAGAATTGAATATATTTTTTGGCAGGGACACAATTCAACTCAACACGCTACTCAAAATGTAGTCCAGGGACTGGTATTGGCATTACCTGGGAACTTACTAGAAATGCAGAATCTCAGGACCCACCTAAGACCTGCATTTTAACAAGATCCCCAGGGTTTCCAATGTGTATTAAAGTGTGAGAAGCACCAAAAGGACTCCTAATGTCTCTTACTCAATCACAGCCACCAACTGTCTGCCAGTGGAGGCTTCCATGTTGCTATGATGCTGTACATGTTTCAGCATAGCTTCCAGACTAAGATACTGGGAAAAAAGTCCTGGTGATCTATTTCTGAAAATTAGACAAATGAAAACCTCGTGAGAGGGAGAGAGGTGACTTAAGGGTATATAACAAGAACAACAATCTGTGCGGCGATTGAGCAGATCTTAGAATTTTTGTGGCCCTGTGGTAGGAAGAGGTGCTGCTTCAAGCCATGGCTTTTTAGGTTGCCCATCATTAGTTTGTTTCAGCAAAAGTCTTGGGGTACAAAGGGCAGCAGTGATGTGCTACCTTGGATGTGATATCTACAATGCTTTCCCTATGCTCAAGTCCATGGAACAGGGCCAGGAGAGCTGACAAGGAAAGCAAAAACACCTTCTCCAACCCTACCTCTGCCTTGTGTTTTGTAGATTAATTTCATCCTTTTTATAAACATTCTAAGAATCCTGATGAAAAAACTTAGAACCCAGGAAACAAGAGGAAATGAAGTGCACCATTACAAGTAAGTGTAAAGACCTAGACATACTTGGTTATTAGCAAGCATTTATTGGGCACCTGCTGTATACCTAGTTTGTGCTAGGCACTGCTGGAAATGGAAGAAAATGGAAAAGGAACCTAGTCTCAGGGTGTTTACAATGTCAATAGGAAGCAATGGATACCAGCATAAAACCTTAGACACTACCATGATCATTTTATGCTGACCTCTCCCTTACTGTATATTGCTTTTTCCTTCACCTAAGTTATATGTGTCTACCCTCTAGTTTGTGCCCATTCCAAAGAATGGTGATCCAAAAGAATATAGAAATTATTGAATCATATCATTAATATCACATGCAAGTAAAATTTTACTGAAGATAATTCAAAAATGGTTGCAGCATTATGTTGACAGGGAGCTGCCAGAAATTCAAGCTGGATTCAGAAGAGGATATTAAATGAGGGATATCATTGCTAGAGTTAGATGGATCCTGGCCAAAAGCAAAGAATACCAGAAAGATGTTTACCTGTGTTCTATTGACTATGGAAATGCATTCATAACAAATTTTGGATAATATTGCAATGAATGGGAAATCCAGAACACTTAATCGTGCTCATGAAGAACCTGTATGTAGACCAGAGGCAGTCATTCAAACACAACAAGGGGATACTGAATGGTTTAAAATCAGGAAATGTATGCATCAGAGTTGTATCCTTTCACCATACTTACTCAATCTGTATGCTGAGCAAATAATCCAAAAAGCTGTACGATATGAAGAATAACATGGCTTCAGGATTGGAGGAAGACTCTTAACAATCTGTGATATGCAGATGACACAACCTTGCTTGCTGACAATAAAGACAACTGGAAGTACTTACTGAAGAAATCAAAGACTACATGTAGCCTGCAGTATGGATTGCACTTCAACATAAAGAAAGAGAAAAAAAAATCCTCACAATTGGACCAAAAAGCAACATCACAATAAATGGAGAAAAGATTGAAGTCAGGGGTTTAATTTTACGTGGACCCACAATCAGCACCCATGGAAGCAGCAGTAAAGAAATCAGACAACGTATTACACTGGGCAAATCTGCTGCAAAACACCTCTTTAAAATGTTAAAGAGCAAAGGCATAATTTTGTAAAGTAGGGTATGTATTTTGGTTCTCTTGTGCTGCTCTAACAGAAAAACCACAAGTGGATAGCTTTAACAAACAGGGATTTATTCTCTTACAGTTTAGGAGGCTAGAAGTCTGAGTTCAAAGTGCCACCTCTCAGTTTTTGACCTTGGCCTTCATTCAGCTCTGCCTCTTGCTCCTGGCCCACTGTAATTGGAGGCATCTTTAAACTCAGACAGCTGCTGGCTGCTGAGGCTGACAAACTCAAGATCAACCAGTTAAATGTCACAGTCCCAAGATTATCAAGCAACATGGCAGGCCACTAGTTCAAGTTCAGATATGGTCTCAAGAATGGCAGACAACATGGCAGCCCACTAAGATGAAGACTCATCCAAATGCAAGATCCAAGTGTGCCAAAAAGCTAGAGACAAGTATTGATCTGGGCGAAGGAAAAGGTAGTATAGCAAATCAAGTGACCAACACAATAACACTAAGGAAAAGGAAGACACAGAGAGGAGCACAAGAGGTACAGACAACACTTTCACATACAAAGTGCTGCTTTATCAGTGATAACAAACATTAATCTACAGGTAAATGTTGTTGTTGTTATGTGCCCTCAAGTCAGACCTGACTCATAGTGACCCCTCCTTGGGTTTCTGAGACAGTATCACTACAGAAGTAGATTGCCCAACCTTCCTTCCAAGGAGTGGCTGGTGGGTTTGAACCGCCAGCCTTCTGGTTAGCAGTCAAGTGTCTTAGGCACTACACTACCAGAGCTCCCACAGGTAAATAGATGGTTAAAACAAATGAACAAAAACAGTTTAAGGATCAGGTATGTCTAGGCAAAAGGTAATATATCCATGATCATATATAAGGTTGGCAGGTGATATTTCTACATATGTATCTGTGCTGTAAGAATGCCCATATTAAAAAAAAAAAAAAGAAGAAGAATGCCCATATAAATAGAACTAACAGGCGGCCACCAGCCACTCCTCGGAACGAAGATTGAGCAATCTACTTCTGTAGTGATACTGCCTTGGAAACCCAAGGAAGGGTCGCTATGAGTCAGTTCTGACTCAATGACACATAATAACAACAACAACAGGGGGCAAAGTTATGATAACTTCTTAGCCACAGTCAACCACACTGATGGATTGTGGGCTTGGGATCATGGTCATGGGGACATCAAGCCCAAGTGGCATAATATACTACACAAAAATATTGTTCTACATCCTGCTTTGGTTAGTAGTGACTAGGGTCTTAGTAGGTTACAAGCGGCCAACTAGATGAAACAATTGGTCTCTCCTCATCTGGAGCAAAGAAGAATAAAGAAAGCCAAAGATACATGGAAACAATTAGTCCAAGGAACTAGTGGACCATGTGAACCTCAGCTTATATGACCACAAGACCAGAAGAACTAGATGGTACCTGGCTACTACTGTCAACCAGTCAAAAAGGGTCACTGCAGGATATCCTGGATAGAGTGGGAGAACAATGTGGAACAAAACTCAAAATCATAAAAAAAAAAAAAAAAGAAGAAGACCAAATTTATTGATCTGATAGAAGCTGGTGAAACTCCCTAGTTACCCTTCAGGCCTGGAATTTAACTCATACCCTTGGCTTCTAGCCAAACAACAGAGAGGAATACAGGAATATAGGGTGAACATTTACACGAGGTAGATACACTCCTTAGAACAGTCAATCATTGGAGAACAGAAGAGCAGTATTTGCACAGGGGGATAGCTCAGGGGACAGGAATGCATAGGAAGAAAGGACACAGGGAAGAGGTAACTATAGGGAGGAAGTGGGAAAAGAGCTGTTACATTGTGGGATTGCAGTCAATGTCATGAAACAAAAAGTATATGAACTGCTTATGGAAAATGAATTTGTTCTATAAACTTTCACCCAAATCACAATAAATACTAAAAAAGAAAAAAATTTAAAGTGGTGTATTAAAGTCTCCTATTATTATCATGGACTTGTCTATTTCTCTTTTCAATTCTGTTAATGTTTGATTTAGGTCTTTTTCGGCTCTTTGATTGTGTGTAGATACTTTTTATGGTTATGTCCTCTTGTTTGATTAACCCTTTAATCATTATATAATATCCTTCCTTGTCTCTTTTTTTAGTTTTAGCCTTAAAGTCTATTTTATCCAAAATTAATATTGCCACTCCTGCTCTTTTTCGGTTGCCACTTGCTTAGTGTATGTTTTTCCATTCTTTTATTTTTAGCTTATTTTTGTTTTTGTGTCTAATATGTGTCTCTTGTAGACAGCATATTGATAGGTCATGTTTTCTTACCCATTCTGTAACCATCAGTCCCTTGACTGGTGCATTTAATCCATTTGCATTCAGTATTGTTAGGTATGAATTTATTGCTTTCATTTTGCTGTGATTTTGTGTGTGTGTGTGTGTGTGTGTTTGTGTAGTGTTGATGATTTCTTTGCTCAATATATTTTTCTGTGCTGAGTTTATTTTTAAAAGTATTTTCTTATCATTTCCTTTATGGCTATTGATTTAGTGTTTACTGAGACATCATGATTTTCTTCCTTTCTCCTTTGGTGACAAGGTTTATTAATTTTCTTTGAGGTTACCTTGTAATTTATTATCTTCCCAGGTTTAAAGCAGTAATTTCTATCTTGACTTCCTTTCCATTTGGCAATTCTGTCCTTCATCATTTATTCCTTCTTTTTGTTTGTAGTTACCGTCATTTACAAATTGACATCTTTGGTTCCCTGTCTTCCATCCTGTAGATTTATTTTATTGTTGATACTTCTATATCTAGGGCAATTTTCTCATGATCTAGTCATGTGTCTTCAGAAGGAAGTTTGGGCAATCTACTTCCATAGTGATACCACCTTGGAAACCCAAGGAGGGTTAGCTGAGTTGGATCCAACTAGATGGCAGTGAGTTTGGTTTGGTTGAGTCATATGTCTTAATCTCTTGTTGTTGTCTTCCATTGTTGATTTTCGTAAGGACTCCCTTTAGCATTTCTGGTAAGGTTGGTATGGTTCTCACAAATTCCCTTAATTTCTGTTTTTCTAAGAATGTCCTAATTTTGACATTGTATTTGAGGGACAATATTACTAGATACATAATTCCTGGCTGGCAATTATTTCCTTCAGAGTTATATATGTATGTCATCCCATTGCCTTCTTACCTGCATGGTTTCTGCCAAGAACTCAGAGCTTCATCTTATTGGTTCTCCTTTGTAGGTGACTTTTCATTTTTCCTGAGGTGCTTTCAAGATTGTTTCTTTGTCTTTGGTTTTGGAAAGTTTGATCATGGTATGTCTTGGTGATTTTCTTTTGAGGTCTATCATATTTGGAGTTCTTTGAACTTCTTGAATGCATGTCTTCTCATCTTTTATGATATTGGGGAAGTTTTCTTCCAAAAACTCTTTGACAGTTTGCCCTGTCCTGTTTTGTTTGTTTGTTTCATCCTGTTGGAGTGTCCCACATGATCGTTGGGCTTTCTTCATTTTTTCATTCTTTTTTCTAATTGGTTCTCTAACAGATTACTATTGAGAGACTTGCTTTCAACCTCACTGTTCCTGTGTTCCACTTACTCAATTCTACTCCATTGCATTTTCCATTTCTGAAATTTTGGTATTAATATTCTGGATTTCTATTTGCTGTCTTTGTATTGTTTATAATTTTCCATTTATTTTGTCAATTTGTTCTCTCTTCCCCTGCCCCCCCCCCCAATTTCTCTTGAGTTTTGTCTGTGTTTTCCTTGATTTTGTCTGTGGTTGCTTCGAACTTTCTCTCAATCTATCGAAGGCACCTAAATATAATCCTTATCAGGTAGATCCACTAACATTTCTTCTTCTGGAAGATTTTCTAGCCCTGTATTTTGATCACTTGTTTGGGTCATCTTTTCCTGTTTTGTGTATGTGTGTGTGTGATTTGAAGTTGTCTGTTGTCTCGAAGACATTGTATTGTTATTGTATTAATTTGTTGATTGTATGTTGGTTTGCTTCACCCTGATTTTTTGTTTTGTTCTGTTTTAATATATCTGGGCAACTGAACTGCATGTTTACTCTGATTGCTAGCCTGGAGCACTGAGGTGCTTATCATTTTTCTCTGGGTGGATTTGGTAGCAGGTGAGAGTATGGCTGGAATCTCTGATCACTGATCTTGCAGAGAAGTTGAGAGCAGGCTGGGTGGGTGTTGGCCACTGTCTATCATTGGTCCAGTAGTGCTGAAGTGTGTGATGTCACTCACTCAGTGGGTGGTGCAGCAGGTATGGTTGGGTAGGGCTGGGCAGGGTTGCTGTCTGCCAATTGGTAGGGAAAGATAGAAAAGTCAAAGGGGGATGAGGGGAGAAAGGGTGAAGAGGGGTGACCTAAGAAGAAAGATAAAGAAGGAAAAGAGAAGAAGAAGAACAACAAATGCAGCATGGTACTGACACAAGTGGTAGCTGGCAAACATTTCTGTAGTAGAAATGTGACACTCACTCTGCAGGAGCATGCAGCACCAAATACAGAGAGTCAGGGGAGACACTATTCAACATGGAAGTGATGGGGAGTGAGGTGTTTTCTCTGCTGGATCAAAGAAAAGAAGTAGGAGGAAAAAAAAGACAGGTGGAAGTGGAAGAAAAAGAAAAATAACAAGGTGGAAGGTGGGGAAAGTGAAGGACTGAGAAGGAAGAAATAAAAAGAATAGAGAGAAAGAGGGAAAAAATGGTATAAATGTTAACCAGCTACAGCAGGAACACAGAGCTCACCCTAGAAGAACTCACACTATTGTGCATGAAGGGGAGTACAGGTTCTGCTGACCATAGTGGGGGGTTGTAGGGAAAAAAAAAAGAGGAAATGATGAGGAAGAAAGAAGAGGAAAACAAGGGGAAGGAGACGGAAGAACCAGGAAGGATGAAAAAGGAAAACAGAAAGAAAGAAAAAAAGCAGCACAGTGTCAGCCCTGCTGTGCAGGGACATAGAGCTAGCTCTGCTGGAGTGCACACCTCTGACCAGGGAAGGGTAGGGACAGGTGCTGCTAACTGCATGGGCAGTTAGGGAAGGGCTTCCATTCTTTGGGATTAGAAACAAAGTGGAGGGGCAAGGGAAGAGAAAGAGAAAAAGAAAAAAACAAAAAAGGGAAGAAGAAAGAAGAGGGGCGGATGGAAGAACTAAGCAAAGTAAAGAGAAAAGCAAAATAAAAGTAAAGCAAAATAAAGAGAAAAAAGTAGCACAACATGGCAGTGGAGGGAGTTTGGCTGCTGGGTTGGTGGGGTTGGAGAGGGACGTCCCTCTGGGCACCAGGAGATTGTGAAAGGTAAGGGGGGGAAGATACACCTCTGTGGTCATATGATCACCAGGGTGGGTGCTGGTGCAGTCCTGGGCAGGTAGAACCAGTTATCTAGTTCCTGCTCCAACTGGAATGCCACTTGCAATAATTCAAAATGGCCTCGCTGGGCCTGTTGGCAGTCTACCACTCCTTGTTCACTGTTTTTGTTCAGTCTCTTCCTCTCACTGATATTTGATCTACTTCTTTTTCCTTTCCTTTGAAACTCTGGAATCCAGGATTGTCATCTGTAGCCATTTCCCTTGTTTTTTTGAATCTTTGTTGTAGAGGGTCTGGTTAGTGTATTTGCCTAGTCTGCCATCTTGGAACCTCCTCCCCACATTCTATATTTTTATTTGCTAAATTTGGCAACCCTAATCTCGGAAGAAAATAAAAGAACTCTCTCTCTCTCTCTCTCTTTCTCTCTCTCTCTATATATATAATCCAACTATAAGAAAGCCAGCTTTGCTAACGTGTAAGACAGAGTAGCAGTAATACATGCATATAATTTGTAAATAAATAGTTGTCTAAGTGGGTACATGTGCAAATTGTTTTACAGGCAGAAGGAAAAGATCAGAGAATTCGGGGATTGGCTATGAGTTCATAAATGCTATATCTGGGTGATGGGTACATGGGTGTTAGGAATTTTCCAAAGTAAAAAAGTTTGGGGCCACTGCTGCAAAGGCCTATGCAATCACCCTGCAGATGGGATCCAGAAATTGAAGTAGACAAGGAGGGGGCAGGGCTTACTGCATAGCAGGAGACTTTAGTGGTTGTCTGTCCCCAGGCGGCTGGCCAAGTCCACCCTGCTGCTGATCCCCCTCTTTGGAGTCCACTACATCATCTTTGCCTTCTCCCCAGAGGATGCCATGGAGATCCAGCTGTTTTTTGAATTGGCCCTTGGCTCCTTCCAGGTAAGCTTTTGGGACTATAACTCTAAGCTGTAAAGAGACAGTTCTATCTTTCCTTAGAAAGAAATGGAGGTCACAGAGAAAGCAAGCCAGGTCTTCTAGAAGAGTCCAGGTTGCAGTTTGGGAAGCTAGATACTTCATTTGGCTGGAATTCAAGTGAAGGAGAGGAAGGACCTTACTGTGCTGTAAGGTCCACACGACCTGGAGTGGCATTAGTTCCCTACAGTCAGATGAAGCAAAAAGTAAGAGAGTGATTGACCCCAGGGAAAACAAAAAGTAAAAGCAGCCCCAGAACATAATATTACTTAGCTCTCAATGGCATGTGTTGCTGTTGTTGGTTGTGGTCAAGCTGGCTGTGACTTGTGGTGATCCCATGAATAACAGAACAAAACATTGCTCCATCCTGCATGATCTTCATCACCTCTGGTATGTTCGAGTCCATTGCTGCAGCCACTGTGTATTTCGAGTGATATCCCACCTAGGGGGCACATCTTTGGACAGCAGTCTGATGTGTTTCTTAGGATTTTCACAGACTGTATTTCCTTTCTTCCTAGTCTGTCTTAGTCTGGAAGCTCTGCTGAAATCTATCTACCATGGGTGACCCTGCTGGTGTTTGAAATACTGGTGCCATAGCTTCCAGCATCACAGCTAAATTCCCACAGTATGACAAATTGATAGATGGGTGGTGGTCAACTACTAAACCATCAAAATGTACAGAGGAAAGATGATGGGGAATGAGCAGTGTGGGTGACGGTGTGTTTCCAAGCATGTAGTATCTTCATCTTCATATTGCAAAGTCCATAGAAAAATGCCCCAAACAAAACCATCCAGAAGTAGCAACATCAGTATATTTTTTAAAATCAGTTAAGAGTTGTAAGCAGTTGCAGGCTAGAAACAGGAAATGGGGTAGGGATATCAATAGGCTGCTTTTTTTGTTGTTGTTGAAGCAAGAATAATTTGACTCTACAAAACCATGTGCATATACAACTTTTTTTTTTTTTAATAAACCTTAAAAAATGAGAATAAAGTAAGGGGAAAATCAACTGTGAAGATGGCACAAGACTAAAAAAAAGAAAATGTAAACTCATTGGGACAGAAGGAGCCATCTCTGTGACTAATCTGAATCCCAAATTTCACAATGTTATTTGTTTATTTACTCATAGCTACTTCCTTCCAAAAATAACGTGATGCAGTGTTAGGAAAAACTAAATAAATAAACCAAAACACAGAAGACAAAAATAAAATAGGGACAGAGAAGATCAGTGAAAAGAGACAATAAAGCCAGAGTTGAGTTCATATACAGAAACCAATTCTATAAAGTCCTATCTCGTCTATAAAATGAGATAGCTGGGTCAGAAGTTTGGTTTAAGAGTTCCCAGCAGCCAAAGCAAAGACAGAAATGCAATGAGTTTCAAGATTTATAGTATTTTAAGGAGTCCCTGGGTGGTACAAAAGGTTAACACACTCACCTTCTAACCAAAAGGGTAGAGGTTCAAGTCCATCTGGAAGGCTCCTTGAAAGAAATCCTTGGTGATCTACTTCCGAAAAATCAGCCATTGAAAACCCTGTGGACCACAGTAGAAACTCAGACATACATGGGGTTGCCTTTGGTTGGAATTGACTCCATAGCAACTGAAATAATTTGTGTAACATGAAACCAAGTAGTTGCCTAGTGATTATATAGACTTTGAGGCCTGAGAAAACTTCTCCAATGTATTTTCCTGAAGAAGCCAGCTGGTCTTCAACAACATTTCCACGAGAGATGGAATCCTGTCCGGAAGAAGCTGGAGTCCTCCTCGTATCAGCCTCACTAGGAACACATCTGTAAATGGAGTCAGGTCTTACCCTAGCCCACTCCTTCAGACCCTTCCCTAGGGGTCCCTGCTAAAGACACAGGATCTTAAGAACTGAACGGTACTTTGATACCCCACTAGGGCCTCAGACCTCTAGGAACCCAACCTCTGGTGTAAGCCATGATTCTTTTTATCTACACCAGGGGCTACCACCCACACTGCTATCCAAGGAGGCTGGCTGCAAGCACAATGGGTTATTCCACTCATTTAGCAGGTGGAGGAGTTGAGACCTAGAAGTGGGAACCATGCTGAGAGCATAGATCCACCTCAATCATAGATAGGGATTTCCAGTCCCTCAGAACTGAGGCTTGTCTTTGGACCTGTGGACCCATTTGGCTTCTCTCTGAGGAAATGATTTGTCAATGAGAAAACCAGAATCAGTTTATTAATGTTCCCATAGATATGTTTATGAAGAAAAAGTATCTTGAAATGTTTTTTAAAGGAAATTTTTCCCCCTATTTCCTGAAAAACCTTAAAGATTGAAGTCACTTTTATACATGTTTGGAAGAATTCTCCAGTGAAGCTATCTGGTTCAGCATTTTTTGTTGTTGATTACTGATTCAATCTCTCCACTTGTGGGTCTGTTGGGATCTTCTGTTACTTCTTGAGTCAATGTAGGAAGCTTATGTATTTCTAAGAATGTGTCTCTTTCTGAATTGATGCACTTGAATCATGGTGTTGGCGAAGAATGATAGATATACCATGGGCTCCCAGAAGAACGAACAAATCTGTCTTGGAAGAAGTACAGCCAGAATGCTCCTTAAGAGCAAGGATGGCAAGACTTCATCTCACGTACTTTGGACATGTTATCAGGAAGGATCAGTCCCTGCAGAAGGACATTATGCTTTGTGGAAGGTCAGCAAAATAAAAGATCCTCAACAAGATGGAGTGATACAGTGGCTGCAACAATGAGCTCAAACATAGCAATGATTGTGAGGATGGCACAGGACCAGGCAGTGTTTTGTTCTGTTGTACACAGGATCACTATAAATTCCGACTCAACAGCACCTAACAACAAAAACATCTATTTTGTTGGTGTACAATTGTTTATAACATTCTCTTATGATTATCTTTTTTACCTCTACAGGGTCAGTTGTAATGTCCCCACTTTCATTTCTAATTTTAGATTTTTACATCTTCTTTTTTGTCAGTTTAGCTAAAGACTTGTCAATTTTATTGATCTTTAAAAAAAAATCTTTGTATATATATGTATGTATGTGTGTGCATGTGTATATATATGTATGTATGTATGTATATGCACACACGCACACACACATGCACAGGCATTTGACTGCTAATCAGAAGGCTGGTGGTTCAAACTCACCAGCCCCTCCTCAGAAGGAAGGTTGGGCAATCTACTTCCATAGTGATACTGCCTTGGAAACCCAAGGAGGGGTCGCTCTGAGTTGCATCTGACTCAACGGCAGTGAGTTTGGTTTTTTTCGTATATATACACACACACACACACAAAGTCATTGTCATGGAGTGGATTCCAGCTCATAGCAACCCGTGTGTATCAGAGTAGGATTGTGCTCCACTGGATTTTCTATGGCTATTTTTTCAGAAGTAGATCAGCAGGTCTTTCTCCTGAAGTGCCTCTGGATGGATTCAAACCATCAACGTTTAGGTCAGTAGCCAAGCAAAAAAATTCTTACATATACAAAAGTGAAGAGAATAGTATAATGAACCTCCATGTAGCCATCATGAAGCGTCAACAATTATCCACTCATGCATGGCCCACCTTATTTCATCTCTAGCTTCATCTACTCCACACCAATCTTGCCCCCTACAATTATTTTTAGCAAATCCTAGCCATCATATTATTTCATCTGTATGTATTTCTAAAGAGCTCTGGTGCTACAGTGGTTAAGTGCTTGGCTGCTGACTGAAAGGTTGATGGTTTGAACCCACCAGCCACTCCATGGGAGAGTAGCTGTTTGAAGTTCTCTTCTGTCCTATAGGGTGGGGACAAGTTGGAATTGACTCACTGGAATGGGTTTGGTTTTCTTTGGTTGAATTTCTAAAAGACAAGGGCTTAAAATGGAATACACACAACCACAGTACCATTATCATTGCCAGATACTTTAGAAAATTAGCTTAATACCTTTTTTGATGGTACAAATAATACTGGCTTACTGTAGAAAATTTTGAAAATAAGGAAATGTAAAAACAAAAACAAAAAATCATCTATAATCTCAACCCAGAAATAGCCCCTGTTAAACTTTGTTCAAAAGGCCTCTGTTTACTTCTTGCCTTTTTCTACTCATGAAGACACGTGCACATATAATTGGGATCATGGGATCATACCCATCATGAATATTTCCCCATGTCATTAAAATGGTTCAAAAACTTCATTTTCAATGACCATATATAAACTATGGAATTCATCAAACTTGCTGGCCTGATTGAGGCCTGCCTTCTGCACCTTGGGGAGGGGGTCACTTTCCCTCACCCTGACCTCCAGCTCTTCCCTGACTACAGTGAAAATGTGTCGCTGGGTCCCAGGACAGTAGCACACACCAAGCAGTTTCTTGGTGTGAATCTCCACAGATCTTCAATTCTGCCTTACCTCTAACTTAACTTCCCTTAACTCTAAAATGGGGTTCCTCCCACCTACTTCCTAGGACTTAGGCAAGGATTATATAAGCATCTGGCACCCAGAATCCCAGTTACTAAGTAGACAAGTTGTGCAACAAATCCAGATCTGCTTTACTTCACAGCCTGCCTTTATGTGGCCTTTTCACTGTCTGTCTGACCACTACCACCGCCACCAGTTGTTGCTGAGTCAGCTCCAACTCATGGCAACCCCATGCATGTCAGAGTAGAACTGCACTCTATAGACTTTTCAATGGCTATTTTTCAGAAGTGTATCACTAAGCCCTTGGGTGGACTTAAGGCACCAACCTTCAGTTAGCAGCAGAGCTAACTACCTGGGGACCCTCACAAAGCCAGGGAACATAAAACATAGGTGTCAGAGGTGTCCTCTAACCCAGAAGATCCACCACCAATCCAACAAACCTGGAGGTCAAACCTGCTACTGGTCGGCTTTTAAATTGAAAACTGGCTTATCAATTGAAATGAGTTGCCCATGTTTAAATGGCTCCAGATTTCCAGCATATTTTGAACAATAAACCCCACAGGGCTGGCTTATCTCTCCTACTAGTCCAGGCAGGTTTCAGATTCCTTCTCCCAGGTAGGCTGGCTTACTTGGCCATGTGACTTGCCTGGCTCCATGGGCCCCTGCCTTCATGTCACTGACACTACATGTGTATGCAACCCTTTGCTAGACATTGGGGACCACAAATGTAAGGGACATGGTCTTTGCTTGCAAGGAGCTCATAGTCTCTGATGCATGAAGAACTGGGCACTATTTGGGAAGAGGGAAGGCAGAGGAGGTAGCCCTACTTCCTAAGAGGGGAGAACCATGATAGGAGAGAAGTGGGGACATTTCTTTTAGGAAGTGAGCCTGCAGCTGGTGATGGAAGGATTAAGGGGAGGAGGAGCTGCCAAGGCCAGTCTGAACACCTGCACTAACCCCTGATCTCTCCATAGGGCCTGGTGGTGGCCATCCTCTACTGCTTCCTCAATGGGGAGGTGAGTGTCCAGTAGCTGCTCAGATGCCTGGAAGAGTTCCCTATCCAGCAGACTGCAGTTCAGAGTCACCTGGACAGGGTGGTAGGAAGGGGGATTTGAAAAGGGGGGTATGGGTCTAGGTTGGGGAGGTCTGGGCCTCTGTACTATAGAAGTGTGAGCTCATGACAAGGGGCAAGGTTGTGGTCACTGCTTGGTCACAGCAACCGAGTAGTTGAACCTGCGGGCTTGGGACCATAGTCGCAGGGGACATCAAGCTCAATTGGCATAACATACTATACAAAACATTGTTCCA